CTAAAATTTTCCCTAATATCTTAAGTTCCTGCTCCCGATGGTTAACCTCTGCAAGACGCAGGGTCCTTATTATCATGGATTTCATAACTCCTACTTTAATCCCATAAATATGGTTTTAAAAGAAATTTAAAAAAGACCCCGCATTTGTGATTTTCCTATACAAATTCCTATCCAGTTTGTTTCTTCTTTGCTAGCTGGGACATCTATAAAAAGTAAACCACCATCCTTTTCTAGTTCCATTGTAACTTTTAAATTCATCTCGATTCAATTCATCAATGATAGAAATTCTCCTAGGCTTTCTTTGTACTGTTGCTATACGAGAAAGTAGTCATTCATGTACTACTAAAAGAGATGGCTTTGCATTTCGTAGGTAAAGTTGCTTGATATGAATCCTTAAGGTGTATTTATCCTATTTCGTTTAGGGGGATAGGGGGACTGGTAGTTGAATTTTCCCACAATGATGTTTGTAGACATGACGTTTCCATCGGAAGGTCACTTATTTATGAAAGCCTACTTATAAACGGAAAAGAACTATTGTAGTCAATTGCTATAGCAAATAAAGCTTTGTTTTATTGACAATCCCTTCACGGAATGCGATATTGGAAAATGCTCATACCTCCTTGAAATGCACATCTGCCCCATGACTCAAGGGCACTCGCGGCAATGTGGCGCACTTGTTAATATGTCGAGATTATACGCTATTCTGTCATGTTTCAAATCTCGCTGAGGGGCTGATAAGACCTGGGCGAGGTCGAAGCAGCAGTCCACTTTGAATGTGAATGCTTAATGGGAAAGCGAGGCAATGTGAAATCCAATAAAAACGTATTTCATATAATTCATATAATTGTGGGGAAATTCAGCTACCAGTCTCTCATCGTCTTGGACTAAATAGGATGAATACAGTTATTTCGAGATCTACTGGAGAATAAATATAAAAAGGATTTGGTGTTGGTTTGATCTCGTTTTAGCTATTTGCTCGGAGCGGCAAGTAGACCTTCTGACACGTACTTGGTCCTGCGTTCTTTGCCATAGTATTCATCATGATTTTCAGCGTTGGATCAGTGACTTGGTACATTCTCAGGTCTCCCTGTCGCTAAGACCAAGTTGTGAAAACGATGTGAACCCAACACTATGCAGTTACTGGAGACTGCGGCCAAGCAATATGTCACACCCTTTTGGTCTTCTTATTCGAGTAAAAGTGTTTATTGATAGGCTGATTTACGAGCGTTGATGATTAGACGAAAACAAGGAGCATCCACGACAATTTGGCAAGCCTAAATTACCCATTTGTATAGACTCAAGAGTGGTACAAAGATTCATACTGACAATGCCCTCATCAAAGTGCCTATTTGATGTGATTGTCCGTGTGTAAATGCCGTCAAGAGGGCTCAGCCGCCTTGACTCGTGGGCCGGTATGAGGACAGCTTTCTCGATTAGGCATGGGGCCATTATTTGTAGAAGTAGCCCAAGGCCGTTTCAAGTATTCGCCATAAGTGCAAAGGCCCGTCGGCTCTGTGAGGCCAACAGAGAAGAGGCACAGACAAGCGGCTATACACCCTTGGACGACTAGCCGGCACGAGGCCGTAATAAGTTGAGGAGCCGACTTTCAAGACGATTGTGACAGCTGTGATGGATCCAAGTGCCCCGACCTCTCTGGAAAGATCAGCCGACGGGATGGAAGGGTTTTTCTTGCTCTCTTTGACTGACGTTACAGACGAGCGGCTACATGATAAATCGGTACCACCGGGCCGGGGGACAGAGCTGCTTCTGGCCATGTGAACTCAGCCTCCCATCTACTCCGCGCTCGCATTTCAGCAGGCGGGCACAGCCGGCGACGAGAACCTTGATCGGCCAGATTCACGTTCTTCTCTCAAGTGGCCGTCAGCGGATATCTCGATTGGCAGTGACAACCCTTCACAGTGCACACCGTCCTGCACACTCTACAATTCATGCGTCTTGCACACATGACCATGAACCGACAAAGTTCGCCTTCAGGACGAACACTTACAGTCCTTTAAAATACTTTTCACACAGCCAAGGGGAAGAAGATTGGAGGCTTAACCATTGAGTGGAATTGGAACATATTTCCTAAGAAATATCACCCCTTTCAAGCCGGCATGTATGGAGTGCCGCTTATGATTTGGGATCTGCGGCACAGTTGGACGGATATACCTTTATATCTCTCACACCTTACATGCCTTTGGCATTGCATACACAGAGTAAATAATACCGCACACCTTCAAATATGGGTCCGCATTGTAGGATCAAACTCTGGCTTATGCATGTAAGGCAACAGCTGTGACCACATCCACTTTCTTTGAATGCATCAAATTTACTCATTTGCAAGCATTTAGGGGAGCATAAACTAGCCTACCAAGTCATGGGATGTCTCGTTAGGATTACACAATATGGAATAGAAACTAAGTAAGCTTAACTCAGTGTAAAAGGTGTATTTGTTCGTAACTGATGCTTCCGCACCCTGACAATGTCTGTTGCAGAAAGGGCGATAGCTCAGCGCAGAGTGAACGAGGTTGAAGAAAATGGAGCCGAAGTCTTCTGCGCACAAAACTTCGGTTTCGGGTGGGACAAATCTACTGATCCATAGTAAACAAATTTTCCCATGAAATGAAGCGTCGGGTCACACAACTCGTAATGAGGTTTACTGCCCTCAAGCTGAGACGTATGGGGTGAGCTTGAAGATCGAAACTTCTCAGGCCACATATGATCTAGTATCTGTTATATGAGATGTATTCACCCAATTTTGTTTAAGGTGATGAAGGATTGGTAGAAGAAGAATTTTTCCACAATAATTTGAGTTGAGCTGACGTTTACATTGAATTTCACATATTCTTGCTCTCCAAAAGTTGTTCTCTTCCAGGGTGAACTGCAGTTTTGACCTCGCATCGGTCTTATCAACACCCTCGACGGGAGTCGAACCGCGAACTTGACACACTAACAACTCGGTTACACTCCCACGAGCGTCTTTTTGGTCACAGGGCAAATGTTAATTTTCAAGGAAGGCCAGGCCATTTTGCCATATGATATTCTTTTGGTGGAATTTTCGATGAAGCAAAGGTATATCTGCCATAAAAATCGACTACTATACTTTTTTTCGAATTAAGTATTGTTTTCGTGACTATTAGTAAATAAAGTTTATTAGTCTATTGTTATAGCAGATATACGTTTGCTTCATCGACAATTCCACCAAAAGAATATGATATGGCAAAAAGGTCTGGCTTTCCTTGAAAATTCACATTTGTCTTGTGACCCAAAAGGCGCTCGTGGCAGTTTAGCCGAGTGGTTAGCGTGTCAAGCTCCCATCCTGCACTGTCGTGGTTCGACTCCCGCTGAGAGTATTGATAAGACCGATGCAAGGTCGAAACTGCAGTCCACCCTGGATGAGAACAACTTTTAGGAGAGCAAGACTATGAAAATGTCAGCTCAACTCATAGCATTGTAGGAAAATTCTTCTTCTACCAGTCCTTCATCACCTTAAACGTAATTGGATGAATAAATCTCATACTACTGATTTACTAGTAGTCACGAAAACGATACTTAATTCGTAAAATATAGTATCTGTTAGCCCACTTGCTTAGGTATATCCTACCAAAGTCAAAAGAGGCTCTGCCAAATATTATAAGAGATAATGATATAAATATATATATATAATCTACGAGTAGTCTGGATAACCTACTTATATACGAAAAATAAGTAATGTAGTCGATTTGTATAGCGAATACAACTTTGCTTCTTCGGCAATCTCATTACAGAATATTAATGAGAAAATGACCGGCCTTATGTGAAATTCACATATGTCATGTGACACAAGGACACTTGTGGCAATGTGACTTAGGGATCAACATGTCGATCTCTGCACTGTCATCGTTTGAGTCCCGCTGGGGGTGGTGATGAAACTTAGGCGAGGTCGAAATGGCAGACCACTCTGGATGTGAATCACTTTTGGGAAAACAAGGCTATGTGGAATTCAGTGGAAATGTTAGGTCTAATCATATAATTGTGGTAAAAATACAGCTACCAATCCCCCTATCTCCTTAAACGGAATAGGGTGAATACACTTAATATATTATAATGAATCGAGATACTTGCATTCTGACCTGTATAAATAGCATTTGCGAAAGTAATTGCTTTTATTCTAGGCCCTGAGCCGCCTCAACTATCGTTCTTAGT